AAACATTTCTGAAAAGCCACAAAAAAAAATTTTTTTTTTTTTTTAAGAAAAAGAACCAAAAATGCAACACGAGTACTTCTCAAGAACTTAGTCATTTTAGTACCAAACTCTCAACTAAACATGTCCAAACACGCTTAGCCAGAGTTTTGTAAACAATTATTGAGACTTATATTTCAGTAGGATAGAACTCAAAATGAAATACGACACGGGTAAAAAGACTTCAGCAACCAGCATAAGATGAGAAAAGAACTAAAACCCCATAGCTAAGCACAAGGGGTTTATAGCATCTCCAATCAAACTAGGTAAAATATAACCTAGGACATGTTATTTAGTATGTTTAGTAAATAATTCAGATGATAAAATATGAGTAACCAAACTCTCCAGTGACTGGTATGAAGAACCGCCTTGACGTAGGCATTGAGTCGCCTTCTCTTTCAAATGCAATATTCTGCTCCTTAACTTTTCCCCCTTTGTCTCTAACATCAGTCCATTGATTGTCCTCTCTATCTCCTCTCTCTCCAGCTTCTCTAATTGCACACCAACTCCCCAAACATCACTTACATATTTGGCATTAACCCTTTGATCGGTGAAACAAGGCATGCAAATCATAGGAACTCCTTCACATATGCTCTCCAAGGTTGAATTCCAGCCATTGTGAGTCCAAAATGCCACAACTGCTGGATGAGCCAACACTTCTTGTTGAGGAGCCCATTTCGCTATGTGTCCCCTAATGTCCAAAGCTTCTAAGAACTCTTTTGGCATCGTTTCAAGCCAGTCAGATCTGCTGGTTGATCCAGGCCTAACCACCCACAAGAAGGGCTGCTTGCAATTAGCTAGACCCCAGGATATCTCTAAGAATTCAGATTCATTTACTGCTGCAATACTTCCAAAGCTAACATAAATTACTGATCTGGGTTCTTGTTTGTCTAGCCAAGAGATACAGCTTTCATCTTGTGTTAATAAGCTGCTTGAAGAAGCTGGAAAGCGTTTATGAAAGGGACCTATTGGGAACACTGGGATGCCAAATGCCTGGCGTAAGATAGCTAGGGAAGGTTGCTCCAGATCTTCAAAAGTATTCAATATGACTCCTGAAGAGGCCTTGGTTCCATTGACCATTTCAACTACCACTTGATAAAGATCTTCTGGATCACTTGTCTTGGAGACTGGAAGGTCTTTGACTCGGAGAGGTGGAAGCTCTACCACCGGTTCTTCTAATTGAGAATCTGAGAAAATTTCAAGCAACAAGAATTATAATGAAATAAATGTTAGCCGAAAAACCAGAGCTCCCTCTGAACATGCATAATCTCAGCTCTCACACTCCTAGGATTTGTTAAAATCAGAAAACATACCTCTCACAGGAAGGTACTCCTTCTCCTTCAGAAGAGGAAAGGTGGAGAAAACATGCAAGGAAGTTGCACCTCCAGTCCTCAATACCATCCTCCGGAGCTTAAGCTCATTAGCAACAGCATGAGTAAAGTGACAAATAGCATCAGAGATCAAGCAGACAATAGGCTCTTCAGAAACATCAGATAATAACTTAACCAAGCAATCGTGAAAAGGCCGAACACATCTAACGTTAAGCAGCTGAACAATAGCAGCAATATCTGAGGCAGACTTTTCACCTTCAGACAGGTTTTCATTGATGAAATGGAAGGTGAAGTGCGGGTAATTTGAACGGTTGGGAGAGTTGAAATTGGTATGGATTATGGTGATGGAGAAACCTTTGGAATAGAGAATACTTGCTAGCTGCATCATGGGATTTATGTGGCCTTGGAGGGGAAGGGGAAAGAGCAATAATCTGCGGCCCATCCTTGGCTCAATTTGGTTGCTGCTTTGGTTCTCCATGGAGCCTCCTCCTTCCTTCTATAATGCACCTCACTGTAACTTGTTTTCACTCCCAAACATCACTGCTACATAATAAATGGGAAACCCGCCCCATGAAAAGGAATTTATTCTTACTGTTCGTGTCTAACACCAAGGTTCAAAGAAAACAAGTTTATTTGTCTTTAAATTAATGACATTTGATTAAGCACTTACCTGAGTTTTTCTATGAATGGTAGTACTTGATTAAGCACTTATTACCTGTTGATTTTCGATTGAAGTAAATCAGCACATGCACCCGCAACTTTAGCTGGCATTGATTTAAGTGCTCCAAATGCATTATTAAACTCTTAACAAATATCCAAGTTGTAACTACTATACTAACAGTCTCTTTGTTCATTTTTCTTCTAATTGCCCTCGTTAAAAAAAAAAAGATGTAAACCAGCATGCGCACCAAGCAGCCTTGTCTCTCTTAATTTTGAGAAAAAAAAAAAAAGAAAGCCAAACCTCCTTATGTGCCCTTAAATATTTTTTCTTTTTACGTCAAACACCCTAACTTAATTTCTCTCTGGATCAATACCCTCATAAATTCATAATTCATAAAATATAAAAAACCCAAAAGCGTAACGTTGGGTCACGTGAACTTTAAATTCCGTCAGTTGAAGCATTACATGGCACAAAGGTGTTGAGGTGGGCATGACATGGCCGTTATAATCTGATGTGGTGACCTTTTTGCTGACGTGGCTTACAATGTGTGATGAGCCCCACCACTATGGGGAAAATCATATTTTTTAAAAAAATTGTATCATGTGGATAATTTTTTTATATTATTTTTTAATATAATTTTATATATTATTCAATAAATAAATATATTTAATATTATAAGTTTCACATAAATTAAAAAATTTAATCATTTAAATAACATATGAAGTTATATAAAAAATTAAATAAAAAATTATACAAAAATTATTTTTCTTTTAAAAAATGTTTTTTTTTGGGGTAAATTTTGGAAAAGGATTTACAAACCATCACTTTTTCACGTGCCTTGTATTATTTAAATACTTAATTTTTTTATTTATTTAAGATTTATGATCCGAAACACAACTATTTATCTAATAATATTTAAAATTTATGTTAATAAATTGATAGAGTGGGATTGTACCTATATCAACACTCTTTTCTAAAGCCATTTCCTTTTTCTGGAGGTCTAGGGAGAGGTTCCCGATACAGTAGGGAGAGGAGGGACCTTGAAAGTGCAGGAGATGAGATCAGCCTCTTTCCGCCCGAATGCCTGGCCAGGTGAAATCTTGGTAGAACCTCAGCTTGTAAATGAGAATCCCATCATCCTAGGCTCTCCAATTTCCCAAATTTAGGAGAAAATTTTCCAACTTTCAGCAACCCTCTTTGAAAATTTGAAGAACAGAGTCTAAGATAAAGGTAGGAGAGCAATGTACCCAAAAAAAAAAAAAAAAGGTAGGAGAGCAACGCAGTCTATGTCATTGATGTGTTTGAGTTAATGTTTGTGAGTTTCATCGTACTTGGTTTTTCTTCTACTTCCTCTTGTCACATCTTTGCAGATTTTTTTTGTGCTGTTAACTTTGCAATTGTTTCATGACAAATAGGGTTTTCTGAAAAATTCTTCTTTTGACTTCATGTGCTCTCATTCTTGAACAGATCTAAATTTTGCAGGCTGTTTCAACTTTTAGTTTCAAATCAATATGTGAAATTTTGACTTGGAATTTCTCTTTTCTTTTTTTGTTTTTATCGGCATATGGAATTTGTTTATTTTATGAGTATGTGAAAATGAAAAAGCTTAAGTTTGAAAATGGAGTTTTTGTAAAGTAAGAAGGAAAAGAGGAAGAGGAAGAAAGTGAAAATGGTGTTTGTAAATTTAAAGTAAAAGAAAGGGTAATTTAAGACGTTCATGGTATAATTCATATATGTCAGCAAAAAAGTCTTCCCACGTCAAATTAATGTTGAATTCGTCATTATTTTTAAGCCACATCAGTAAAAACTCAACGGACACGTGGAGGGGCAGAGCCACGAGTTTTTGCGATGGGTTGAATTTTCTAGTCTTAAAATAATAGATTATAATTCTTAAAATTTATTTTTATATTATAAATTAAAATAATATTTAATAAATTTTCGTATTAAGAAATTTATTAATAATAAAGTTTATATTAAATGTTTAAATAATTTTTTTTTCAAAGTAAATAATCAAAAAGTTTGAAAAGAATTTATTTTTTATTTTGTTGTAAAACTTTATTTTTACAATTTTTATAATAAAAAATACTTTTTCTGTTATTGTTATAAAAATTAAAAGAGTAAATAATGAGGTAATTAATATGTAAATGAGATTATAAATCTCTTATTTTTTTTAATCTCCACAAATCATTGATATAGTTCATAAATATTTGGCAAATTCTGAAAAGATAAGTTCTTTGAATTCAATTTTGCTCTTTCGGGGATATTCATATAAATGCATCTGTTTTTCAAGATCACACTCAATAAGAAAATCATCTATACCCATTTTTGAATCTTCTTCTTACGAAGGCTCTTGTTAAAGATCCTTAACTTTTTTTTTAAGCCCCTTCATTTTCCCTTGGATCTTCTTCTCTTTTTCTTTTGAAAAAAAATTCAATTGTTCCCTCTTTTTTTTCCCATTGATATGATGATCCTAACAAGAAGCAAATAAAATAATAATAATAATAATAATAATAATAAACTAACATATATGATAAATAAAAAAATATTCTAATATAATCCACGACATTTCTAATCATAAGTGTTAGATACACAATACATTAAAAATAATGCTAAAAGTATAGATCGTATAATTGTTATTGTTCAAATTTTAAATGTAATTGCCTTTTGTTATTTTCAAGGTATTTTAAAACTTTTTGATGCCTCCACTAATCAAATCCTATATCAAATTACTAATTTTTATTATTAGAACATATTCACTAACAACAAGTATTAGACAAAAATTTAAATTAAAATACATTTATAATTTGTGATCCCGTCCATTAGTCCATGAAAAAGACTAAGAGAAAGAAAGTATTTCTTACTCGTTGTGCTTCACTCCACCGTCGACTAATGACTGATCCCTTCAATGATAGCAGTAGCAGAAGGTTGAGGCTACAGTGTTTCTTTCTTCGATTCAAAATTAAAAACTAAAAAGAGAATGGACTATTTTTAGTAGTTAAAAAAGTTAAAAAAGATAAAAAAACAATTGTGATTTTACTGATTTAGTACCTTGATTTAATGGCTTGATTCCCTAAATTGTTTTCTTTTTGAAGTTGAATGTTGAGTGAAGACGCAGAGCCAGTCGGCAGCGGCAGTCGTAGAGATGATATAAAAAAATTGGGTTTTTTTTTTATAAAAATTTTAAAGTTAAAGTGTTAATTGATTTTTAATAGATATTTGAAACCTCAATTATAATTGAACTTATGAATATAACTCATTATTTTAATGGATAAAATCTTTTTTTATTTTATGTATCTTAACAATTCAAAATATAATATTTAAAATTTAATAATTAAAATTAATCAATTAATACATATTAAT